GGGGAGGCTCCGCGGTAGGGGTGGCCGCGGGTTTGCAGGGAGTCTTGGCGGTTGGCTGTAGCACCCCAAGCTACCAAAACACGGGAGCCGCAAGTCCGAGTGATGAGGAAATGACCTGTACAGATGACTCTGACAACCGCTGTCTATCTCGGTTGGCTTAAGGCGATCTTCTGAGTCACCAGCAACGCAAACCATCTTCAAGTCTTAATGTTGACTTTTTGAGACATTCCTTTTGTACTCTCGAAGTTACCGATCACCTTGAGTTTTGTTTTCTTGTAGCGTCTCCCAGGGTGTGTGTGCTCCTAAACAAAAGACAAAATCTGTGGTTTCCTTGGTCTAAAAAACAAGTCAGACGTGAGGAAATGGGAAGGTTAATATTACAAAGAAAGCGGTCAGATGTCTGTAGTCAAGATGGTAGAAGTAAGTCTTCAGAAGAACATAGTGTCGAAACAGTTGATGAGTAGCACACCACTAGAAGTTGTATGGTTGTGTGGCCAGGGGGGAGGAGGGAGGAAAGGGGAACAATACCCAGGTGCTTTCCAGTGGATCACAAAGTAGTGGATTTAAACACATGAGAGCAAATGAGTTAAGCAGTTGAAAGAATCAGGGTCCTAGAATCAGCCCTTTTAAATTAGCTTTAAATCTTAGAGGCATATTCTATGCAGAGAAGCTGTAGTTTACTGTTTGGTTAAATTTGCTTTTAAGGGTTGAGTAGCGCTTGCAGATGCGCTTCATTACAGTGGGAGTTTGAGATAATCCGGAAGTTAGACCTTAGGTGCAAGTGAATTTACAGTTACTGTAAGTTAATTTTTAATTAATTTATTTATTTTAGCTCTGTATGTTGCTTTTTGTTTCGGGTTTTTTATTATTATTTTTGGAGCTTCTCTTTGGAGAATGGAGCTGTCCCCAGAATAATTTAGACCTGTCCAAGTTGCAACAGTATTCCCAAGTTGTTTTATACAGTAGGTGTTACTTGGATGCTTTAGCTGGCTCTACAGCATCATATTCTGTGTGAGGTGTGTTCAAGCTTGCATTAAGGTTCTCTGGTTATGGCTCTTCCCACAGAATTAATGCTTGCGAAGGAGGAACACTTCAATGGGATTTTAGGAACCCTTCAATATTGTGTAAAAGCAAACATGAAGCAGACTTTCTGCAACTTTTATACAGAAATAAAATAGCGCACAATAAAGTATAATGGATTTTATTCCAAAATTTACTGGTTTGGGGTTTTTTTTATATATATTGTGATTGTTCCAAATTTTGTGTGTTCTTTATGTGATTAAACTCTTTAAAAGCTGCTGTGCTGGTTCTTCTAATCAGAATGGTTCATTTTAAAAAGCTCACATTGAAAATTATGAGAATATTCTTGTTAGAGAAACCTTCTACCTGTAAACACTGCCATTAATTATATTAGCAGTTTAAGCTCAATTTGATACAAGTGGAAATATAAAAAACAGTAGTCTTCCAAGCCTTGTAAAATCAGGAGTCCAGCTAGAGAAGTAACTATATTAATATATTGATGGAGGAAAAGGCTGTCGATACATTTAACTTGATAATACACATCAAAATCTGCAGGTAAACAGTTTTATTGGTGTTGCCACTGGCAGAACTACTTGTTTTATTTTGACTTTAGTTATGCTCTTGAAGTATTCATGCACACTCATGAAGCATGGAACAATTGTTTCAGAGTTCACTAGTTCTTAGATTTGTAGATGCTGTTAATAACCCTGGACACTTGTACATTTGGTTTTCAAATTTTCTAGTGTAATGTATAAGGAAAAACATTGGATGATGGTACTGTAAATCAGAAATGTTGTTCAGGGAGGCTTTCCACATTGTATGTATAAAGTGAACTCTTACACTATATACTGGGTGTAAGTGTTTGCTGCTACTGAAATGTCTGAGAGACTTCATGAAAATATTTAAGGACTATAACATTATCTAAGGACTTCTTTGAAGTCTTCTCTGAAAAATATCAAAATCTGTTTAAATGATCTGCATATGTAAATTCTTTTTAGCTTATGACTTGATTCAGGTAAGACTATAGATTAACATTTGGTAATCTATGTCAGGCCTCAGTTAAACCCAGTCTTGAAATAAAGAATAAAGGAATAAAGATCTGCAAATTGCATATTTAGCTGGTTAAGCCCTCTCAAGAGGGTAAGTGATTACCATTGCACAGTAAGTGTGTTTTTTCAAGATATACTTGAATAATTTTTTTTTTTTCTGAAGAAGAAAAAGTCAGTCTTGTCTAGAAACTCTTCTTTTTTGGGGCCTGTTGAAAGTATCATGAAAATCTGTCTGTTACATTTCTGAAGGAAGGTCATTGGGCAACCTGAGATGCTACTACATACCAGTTACTGAATTTTCAACTTAAATCAGTATTCTTTTCACCCTTAATCCATCATAAAAAGGATTTCTCTTCACTCCCAACAGTTACAGTCAATAACTGTTTGAGTTATGTCTAGGTAACTGACTCTGGCTGCCTTTTGGTGTAGAATTTTGAAGCAGAAAACTTGTGTGTGTTTTCTCTCTGTCCTCTTCCAAAGTCACTTGCATGATGGAAGCGCTCGCTGTGTTAGGCAAGGCATACTTTCTGGAGGAATCATGATCATAGGGGTCTCTTTTTCATAGAAAAGATTAGGACTGCTATTCAGAGTGAGAGTCTACAGAACTCCAAATTACTAACAGCCTAATCTTGTGGGGGTTTCCCCCCCTCTTATCTGCTATGTAATTTGGTGCCCCCGGAGAGCACCATTAAATAAAAAGGACTTCTCTGCTATCAAATTGGCTCAAGCATCAGATTTAGCATGCTTAAAAAGAAAGATTTTTTGATGTTTAATACTACTTACTTTGTTTCTAGCATGACTAGGAAAATGTTCTCAAATAGAAGTTATTTTTGTGCTGTAGAGCTGCTGCTTCTTGTGCTGAACTTCTTCATGCTTCAAAATCCAGAAGACTATTTTATACATCTTTTATTTTGCCATTGGCTTTAGCTTTCTCCTTGAGTCTCAGGCTACATACTAGCACGCATCACCTATTCTGTGAGAATAAGCTATTATTTTGGTAGCTGGTTATAACAGTAGTCATGAAAATAGTCTAAGGCAATCATCGCTGCTTCATCTGTGTCATGCTCACTTGCATCACATTTAACTGCCCTTTATCAAGGATGTTACACCTGCCCTACACATGTTCTCTCTGCTTGCTCTTTCCACTTCTCTACAAAGGTACTTTGTGTGATGAAGCAGAATGCAGCAAAAACTTAAGATGTTAAGGCAAAAGCAGCTTTCTATAAATACCATGAGTGATGTTTAGAAACTATTTTTGGTGGAAGACCAATGCTAACCTTACCCTCCTTGTTTCAGCCTTGATTTTTCTAAAACCGAGTTGAAATTTCTGCAGAAAACCCTGAGGTCTTGGTGGTATGAATGCAGTTTATCAAAGTTTGTGGACTGACAAGGGGAGAAAACGTAAAGATGTTCTCCGCTTGGGACTATCTCCTGGACATAATTCAGGATGATCATGCCGAATCCACGTGCATAAGGGTCATCTCTAGTCTAGAAGTAGTTTCACCACTTCAGTGCAGCAAGCAATTTGATAACTGTGGTCAACTTTAAGGACAGCCAGTCTTGGTGTCTCAGCATTATAGCTCTTGTGTCGGGAGTGATACGATCTGTGGTTTGGATGCATCTGAGTGGTTGGACAAGAGGTCACGTTGAGTCTAGTCAGGCATTCTAACCACTTAGACCAGATTACAGGGATGTTCTGTGTCAGTGGAACTAAATACCTTTTGTCAGAGCACTGTCTAAAAGCATGAAGCCAGATTGTATCCAGTGCTAAGTGAAAGTTCTTAAGCTCTGTTGGAGATACCGTGTCAATCAGGTCTTGGTTTTGATCATCCCTGATGACAGTTCTGTTGAGTTGGAGTTGGACTGTCTCACCATTTGAAGCAGATTTCCAGTATCTCAAATTTGAAGGTCAAACACAGCAATTTTCTGTACCTCACCCCAACATTTCCATTTATCAAGGGGGAAATAAACCCTATAATCCTTAGAAGCTGAACTCTGTTATCAAGGGTCATTGCTTAAGAAGTTGGAGTCAGACCCTTTTTGGAATAGCTAATTTGGTACCTGTTCTTCTCAGACACAGAAATAACTTCATAACACTGTCAAGGCTGGCAGTATTGCATTCTGAATATCTGAATTAATACTAGGATTTAATTGTCCCGTCCTGTCAAGAAATTACCCTGTTTTGAGTTGCTGTGACCAGATTCTTATTTTTGCGAACTCATCTGAGGCTGGGTTATGGTGGAATTTAAAAATGGTGTCAGGGGCAATTCAAATGTCTCGAACTAATGAAATGCGGGAGCACTGTAGAACTATTGGCCACAAGGGTAAGTAACCATAATAACGTCTTTTTTTAATGAAGTAGATGTATGCACTTCCTTTAATTCTGAGCATCATGTTAGTAACTTACATACCCAACAGACTTCATAGATTTGCTTAGGCTAGCTTCATAGTAGCACAAAGCAAAGTTTTCACTAGTGTTAGGGATGTTTTTTTTTCCTGTTGCATTAGCATTCAGGGTGATGTTGCTGAAAGAATTGTGCATTAGTAACAGCCTCCCATCTACATGCTAAAGTTCCCGGCTAACTTATGTTGCCTTTTGTCGGTGACCTATCTGATACGAGCCCTATCCAGTGTTCTTGGGTGTGACTGTGAATAAAAACTTCATTTTCCCACTTGCATGACTTCAGACCTTGTCTTTCTGAAATCAATGTCAGTGTTGTCTGACAAGCCAGAGGCTTGGTGCCGGTACCTTCATCTTCAAAGAATTCCTCGAGCAATGGTGAAGTTGGCGTGTTCATGACACTCAACTATTTGTGCAGGCAGCGATCAGCTGTCTCTCCGTGCTATGCCAAAAACTGGAATTGGAGCTGTCTTTCAAGCACAATGATTGGTTCTTGTACTGGTATACCTACAGCTGTTGAAAATCTGTAGAAGCAGCTCACGAGTACTGTGGAACTGAGGTCTGCCTGAATGTATCAATCTGAGTCTCCTAATCTTTTCAGAGATGTACTGAAATCTTGCAAGATATTTTGGGAATGCACTAAAATTCTTAACTTCTTTACATCATGAAGCAGTAAATTATTCTGGGGTTCTTCTGAAGTCTCAAATTGTTAACTAACACTTGCACTCTTACAGACTTCATTTATTTTGAAAGCAGTCATCCTTAGTTCAGAACACTACAGACCAGGTTTCACATTTCTGGTACAAGACATGTATCCTGAAGTCATCCTCAAAGGTTAATGTAGTGCAAAGCTAATCTTGCAGAGAGAATCAGTGAGAAGCTAATCTGAAGCAGCTACCTCTAATAATAAGGGAAGCCTAAAGAGCTGAAATGAGTCTTTGTGAATGTTGTACCCAATCTTGCCCCATTTGTGACTGTAGACGAACCAGTCAAACCATGGACCGTTTTGTAAATCTTTGTTTGCTGGGATTACTGGACTTACACAAAGCTATATGTCAAGGTTAGTGATAAAATACTCATACGAAAGAAGAGTTTAGTGACTCATGGGAACGTACTTCTGACTCTTCTGACTTTAGTGCCTCCAGGAGCGGAAAGGCTTTAAGGATAATGCAGCTCTGAAAAAAAAAAAAAACCAACTGAGGCACTCGCAGATGAAGAGACAACACAAGGCTTTTGATAGGGTGTGTAGTTAGAGATTGGAGATCTTGGCTCTTCCACTAGTTGGCTCAGTGCCTCCATTTTCTCATACTTAAAATGGAGGTGATACCTTGCTTTCTCTGAAGCCTTTTGGAAGGTTTTGATAAAGAACAGAAATGATTTCCAGAGCAATCTGAATCACATATTTTTCCAATTATTAGGAAATCTGTATTTCAAAACTCATTTCATTAACAGGTATTTTGTTCCCAATAACTGTTTCTAGGCATTTTGTTCCAATATTTGCTCAATTATAGCCTCTTAATATGCTATTAAAAAGGAACTTCAAATAATTTGGGCATATAAAGAAGATACCAGTGTTTAAGGACCAAAAGCACATGCAGACTGGGCTTAAATGAACAAGTCGTCTAAAGGCAGTGTCAGACAGGCAGACACTTTTGTTGTAGTCAAAAAGTGAGGTCAGGATTGTCCTCTACATCTTGTTCCACATGGAGTTCATAAGTTGGTTTATTGAGGCTAGTGAGAGAGGTGATAAGATGACTTTAACCTGTATATTACTGTTATTTGGCAGTGTATTTTCTTGCAACATGTGATGCAGCACTGTAGTCATCACCCTGCATTTGTCTATAGACAAACTATTAATTTCCTGTTTATGGATAAGACTATTCAGTGTTACAGTTTAGAGGAAAAAGAAAAGGTAGTGGAAGTTTAGGTGCTGGCATCCCTGCAAAACTGGAATTGTGGGATGGCACGGACAATTCAAGGTCCAGACTGGGAGGGACAACTGTTGAGTTAATAGAAATATTTTTTTAAATAAGAAAGAAGGTATTTTCTGTTTATGTATATGTGAAGATATCTTCAGCAGGCAATCTCCAATTGTTAATTTTACAAATAATTTCTACTGCAACCAGGTATGGAGGGGCAGTATGTAATTGTATTATTATGGCTGACATTGTGATTTCGAACTTTTAACTACTTCTGCCTTTAGAAATAACATACAGAACTGAGTCAAAAGCATGTGAGACAGCCCATGTGGGAGTGGGTCGAAATGTGCCTGACATAAGAAATGAGCAAAAAGATAACCACTGAGGTAAAACTGGTTTTGGAGTATAAACAAATGCTTATCGATCTATTCAAATCATATTTTTCATTCATACTCAATAAGTGAACTCACTTTAGTGTATCTACTGTATTTATGCCTCATTGGGTGATATCAGTATATTTTTAGAATTTTCATTTAATTGGACTCTTACTATATGAGAGGAGGGATTAGAATAGTGGACTAATACTGCCATTTTCAAATAACTTTTAGGTAACTGGAGGCTCCAGTGGAATTGGAAAATGTATTGCTATTGAATGTTACAAGCAAGGTGCTTTCATAACACTGATTGCTCGAGATGAGGTAAGTGTATGAGTATTTTTACTGGCTAAACTCTGTTCACAAAATCTGTATAGGTGGGGAATAATTTTGGAATTTATAATTATTCATGCTTTCTTCAGTGTATATTTTAAGCAGATTCTAAGCATTTCAAACGAACGTATTTGAAGAGGAGAGGTGGCTGCCTTTTTAAGGAATGTAGCCCAACATGGAATTTGTGATTACTTTGCCTTAAAACTTGGCTGCTGCTGTCACTTCTGTTAATGGCATTCATTATTTCACTGTCTAGATTTGTGGCAGACAAAAACAGGAAAAACCCTATAT